CAGGGAAGGACTGGTTGGAAATGGGACGCTCCAGGGCAGCCTTGGATGCAGTGATCACGAGATGGTCGAGTTTGAGATCCTCAGGACAGTGAGAAGAGCGTGCAGCAAGCTCACTGCCCTGGACTTCAAGAGAGCAACTTTGGCCTCTTCAGGAACCTTCTTAGTAAGGTTCCATGCGATATAGCCCTAGAGGGCAGGGGGCCCAAGACTCTTGGTTGATATTCAAGGATCACCTGCTACAAGCTCAGGAGTGTTGCATCCCAACTAGAAGGAAGTGCAGCAGGAGGGCCAGGAGACCTCCTTGGATGGATAAGGAGCTGCTGAGGAAAATAAAAGGTGGAAGCAAGGACAGGCAGCCTGGGAAGAGTACAGAGATGCTGTCCGGGATGTTAGGGACCAGGTTAGGAAAGCTAAGGCCCAGTTAGAATTAAATTTGGCTAGGAATGTGAAAGATAACAGGAAGGGATCCTACAGGTACATAGCAAATAAAAAACAGACTAGGGACAACACAGGCCCCCTCTGGAAGCTCTCGGGTAACTGGCTACCCTGGGTTTGGAGAAGGCTGAGGTTCTGAATGACTTCTTTGCCTTGATCTTCACTGGCAAAGGCTCCGACCAAACCACCCAAGTCTTGGAAGGCAGACACAGGGACTGTGAGAATGAAGACCTTGGGCCCACTGTAGGAAAGGAACTGGTTTGAGACCATCTTAAAAATCTGAACATGCACAAGTCCATGGGTCCTGATGAGATCCATCTGCGGATCCTGAAGGAGCTGGTGAATGAAGTTGTGAAGCCGCTGGCCATCATATTTGAAAAATCATGGCAGTCAGGTGAAGTTCCCAACGACTGGAAAAAGGGAAATATAACCCCCATTTTCAATAAGGGGAAAATGGATGACCCGGGGAATTACAGACCAGTCAGTCTCACCTCTGTGCCTGGCAAAATCTTGGAGCAGATTCTCCTGGAAGGCATGTTAAGGCACATGAAAAGCAACAAGGTGCTTGGTGACAGCCAGCATGGCTTCACCAAGGGGAAATCCTGCCTGACCAATTTGGTGGCCTTCTATGATGGAGCTACAGAACTGATGGACAGGGGTAGAGCAGCTGATATCATCTACCTGGACTTGTGCAAAGCGTTCGACACTGTCCCACACGACATCCTTGTCTCTAAATTGGAGAGACATCAATTTGATGGATGGACCACGTGGTGGATAAAGAACTGGCTGGATGGCCGCATGCAAAGAGTTGTGGTCAATGGCTCAATGTCCAACTGGAAACTGGTAACGAGTGGTGTCCCTCAGGGATCGGTGTTGGGATCGGTCTTGTTCAACATCTTTGTCACTGACATGGACAGTGGGATTGAGTGCGCCCTCAGCAAGTTTGCCGATGACACCAAGCTGTGTGGCTTGGATGACAGGCTGGAGGGAAGGAATGCCATCCAGAGGGACCTTGACAAGCTTGTGAGGTGGGCTGATGCCAACCTTATGAAGTTTAACCATGACAAGTGCAAGGTCCTACACCTGGGTCGGAGCAATCCGAGGCACAGCTACAGGTTGGGCAGAGAAGAGATTCAGAGCAGCCCTGCAGAGAAGAGATTCAGAGCAGCCCTGCAGAGAAGAGATTCAGAGCAGCCCTGCAGAGAAGGACTTGGGGGTGTTGGTCAATGAGAAAATGAACAAGAGCTGGCTTCAGTGTGTGCTTGCAGCCCAGAAAGCCAACCGTATCCTGGGCTGCATCAAAAGGAGCGTGACCAGCAGGTCGAAGGAGGTGATCCTGCCCCTCTACTCTGCTCTTGTTGAGACCTCACTTGGAGTATTGTGTGCAGTTCTGGTGTCCTCAACATAAAAAGGACATGGAACTGTTGGAACAAGTCCAGAGGAGGGCCAGGAGGATGATCAGGGGACTGGAGCACCTCCCATATGAAGACAGGCTGAGAAAGTTGGAGCTGCTCAGTCTGGAGAAGAGAAGGCTGCATGGAGACCTCATAGCAGCCTTCCAGTATCTGAAGGGGGCCTATAGGGAGGCTGGGGCTGGACTCTTCATCAGGGACTGTAGTGACAGGACAAGGGGTAACAGGTTAAAACTTAAACAGGGGAAGTTTAGATTGGATACAAGGAAGAAATTCTTTACTGTGAGGGTGGTATGGCACTGGAATGGGTTGCCCAAGGAAGTTGTAAATGCTCCATCCCTGGCAGTGTTCAAGACCAGGTTGGATGAAGCCTTGGGTGATACGGTTTAGTGTGAGTGTCCCTGCCCATGGCAGGGGGGTTGGAACTAGATGATCTTAAGGTCCTTTCCAACCCTAACTATTCTATGAGTCTATGAATCTATGATTCTAAGTAAACAGAAAGAAAACACTCAAAAAAGCCACCCCCTAATTCCAGGTGGATCTCAGGCTGATCCTGGTACCTTTGCCATCAGAGTTTTCATCCCTTACAAAGGAAAGAAGAGGAAACTAACCCTGTGAGGAATTTCAAAAGGCTAACTACTTTCAGCTCAACTTATCCAAAGCTCCGCTTAATGAAAGCACTGCCTGCTTTGATATCTGGGAATAACTCATGACACATGCAACAAGAACCTTTCTCAGCCTACACAGGCTATTTATTCTGCTCAGACCCTACTCTGTGAGGGTGTCGGTGTTACGGGAGCACTTCTGGACTTTGTCAGGATTCTGACAGTCCTCTAAGTGCTGTTCTTTCTCCATTAATTGCAGTTCCCTGTCACCTCTTCTTGCCAAAACCAGAATGAGGAAAAGCACAGTCAGTTTCCTTACACTTCCTAGTGACACGTGTTGTAATTCATCCAACGGCCTAAGGGGTATGGAGGAATGAAAACACCAAGCGCTAATTAGTAACATTGCTTCCCATTTGAAATATTACATTTTTCCATTCATCCCACTTCCAGGTGCACCCCTGACAGCCCTGTGCTACATTGTTGTTTAGTGAGTAGCGTACAGTAGATTCGACCTCAGAGGCCAGGTAAGGTACATTTTAGGCATATTTTCACAGCAGGTGAAAGCATTACCAGACCGCTACTAAGAGTAGGTTGTTATTAAGTAGACTATAGCTCAAATCCAGTCAGCACGAGCCTGTATTAAATCGAGACAACTGCTAAAAAACGTCTTCTGTCACTGCCTAGTCAAGTGAAGATTACAAGGTACATTCTGATTATCTGTTTTCTTCGTCTTCTCTCTTTCTTAAGCGGTTGCTTGCTTTTTTCTTCTCTCAGAGCATTATAAGCAGGGGACTGCTATGTAAGCGTCTCTTAGCACATTGTGCTAGCTAATAGAATACAAATGATTATATAAATAACAAAGCTGCTGAAGATTTTCTTGTCACCGCTTTCTCTGCTCCATTGGCTTGACTTAAAGCACACATAAAAATGGCCTCAGCTAAGTGTTATGTTCAAAGCACCCATAAATAAAATTAAGATCCTGATTTAAAGAGACACTAAGAAGCTGTATCTCCTCTTTATTTCAATCAAACTGTGATGCTCAGTGCCTACAAAAATCAGGCCCAAGGCTCTACAAATGAAAACAGAAGGATTCGATCTCTGTATGACAGTTTGTATTCAGCAGAGTAGTTTCATTTCCTATATAAGATGCTCACATTTTGTTTTCCAGCATATGTGCATCCCCTTAACTAATCCAGAGGTCAAGCAGGAGAGCAGCTCCAGACTCTGACAGCCACTGCTCACATCAAAAGACTGGCACGTAACATACAACCTCCGACACCGTGAGTCAAGCATCAGTAAGATGGTAACTAGTCAGGCAGCTGCAGCCAGAGATGACATCTAGCTCAGCATTGCTGTTTCCATGACTCCTGTCTGAAAACTCAGCTCCACCTTCCCTCCAATATTAAATGTTCATACAAAGAGGATATTATGACAACCCTCAAGGCTGCAAAGGACTTGGACCCACCAAACCACACCCTGTGAAAAATAGAATTACCACCATTAGGGAGAAAACTCTTGCAAGAAACTCTTACTCCAGGCTATCTAAGAGGCTGACTGGGAGAAAATTTAACCGTGCTTTTCAGTAAGCTTTCTATAGCACATTTTGGAGATGTCAATGTCTGTATCACCACTAATCACAGTGATTATCACAATTCTGTTAGAAGAAACAGGAAAGATGACAAAAGCTGACTGCAGGGGATAATAGCTGAACAACTGCACCAGGTTTCATATTTAGGCTGAGGCTCCTCATCCTCGCCCCAAACACTCTTCTGGTTCTTGCTACTAGCCAGGCAGTTCAAACTCTATTACTCATGCATGGATTTTCTTGAAGTTGTGGATTAACTAAGGACAAGGGCAGCCAGTCAGCATGAGACAATATGGGCTTGGAAGCCAGCTAACTGTTCGTGACAAATGCAGAAACTGCTGCTGCGATTTACTAACACAGTACACCACAAGTCCACGTTACTTCATTGCCACAACTCCATTATACCCTCATGCTGCATTCTCCTCACATAATTTATATACATGTTTTATGCTACATTCAACTTTATTTTTCCGCTTTATTCTAACTCTCTATCTTCCTGGAAAATTGACATTTTAACTATAACTAGGTGAAATCCAGGCCCTAAAAAAAATATCCTAAACAAGCTTCTGATTATGATTTTTTTTTTAAATCCAAAAATGCTGCTTATTAATCAAAGGCCATTTATCTTCTTTTTAATGTTTATTGCTTCAATTCCTAGAAAATTCTAGTACTTTCTTCTAAATGGTTAACACCTTACAGAAGACAAGACACCTCTCCCACTACCATGAGTATTTTTCCTGTTATCCAAGCACTAGAAGTCTGATTCTGACCATAAATTAATGAGTTCTGCAGCTGATGCCTTCTGTCCAGCTGAATGACAAGTTAATCCTTACAGAGCTGTTGCAGTATCAGCGTAAAGTTCAGCACCAGGGAAAGACCTTGAGTGTGTAATGAAAAGCAGGAAAGAGGAATGACTTTGAGAAACCAAAAGCACAGAAACAAGAATCTATTTCAAGTATTTACCTCTTTGAGGCAGCCCATGAAGTTGTTGCTTACTGGAGAGCCAGGTAAATCAGCAGTACTGGGGCTCCCTCCAACGTAAAAGAAGTCATCCGAACCAAGCATGGTGTAGTCCTCCTGTGTGTAGCCCGTGGTGGTAAGGATGCCATCCACAGAGATTGTCACCTGTTTGAGGGACACAACGGACAAAGAAAATCCCAGCAATGACCTTACAATTCTGAACAGAAGCAGTTACCTCCCCTATAATTTTATGTCAGTTTTATTAAGGATTTTGTTGAGATTTGGCATGTATTTTTTCAGTTAAGCCAAGCTCCATTTTCTGGTCTGATTCACCCACAATGGAAAAGCTCCAGCAGCTGCTTGTCCTCTGGTGTACTAGCATGGTCAGGCTGACCTGGCAGTCTACCCGTCAAGATGTTTTCCATCTATTCAGGCCAGAAAATGGAGCTGTCCTTGAAAGAGATTTCTCATATTAGCTGATTTTATGATTAATTATTATTTATTTTATTACAGTTAGTTATGGTTGTTAGTAAAAAAAAAAAACAAACACTAATGAAGACGAGGTTGGTATTTTTTATTTTTAACGTTTCTTTTGCTCACAGCACACTGACGATCATGCATTCAGGGAAGGGTGAGAGGGATCTCACTTTCAATACATTATGGATGTGCATGCCATGTACCTAGAGAGACACACACCCACCACCCCCAATAAAAAAAAGGGAAATTAAAAAAAAAAAAGCATTAAAAACTCATAACCAAAATACAAATACGAAATAAATAAAAATAAAATTAAATAAACCAACCACACACCAACAAAGTGTGACAGAAGCAGAGATGAGAGAGAAAGAAAACAAACACAAAGCGTGCACACACTGCACTTTGACATGTCATGCCAATATATCTGGAAGCCCAGAAAGATGGCAAGGAAAAGAGATAAGAGAAAGAGGGATAAGGAGAAAGAGAGAAAACTATTTAACACTCACATGCAATCAAAAATAAAAATACCAAACAAACCCCATAATTAAAAAAAAAAAAAAAATCAAAGCAAACCAGAAATGTCCCCAAAACCTCTAACCCCAAACACATGGAGGGTGAAGAGGGGTGGAAGGGAGGCAGAGGAGCAAGTGAATCTGATATGCTTTGCTTGAATGTTGTTAGTGGCTTCAAGGGAAGATGGAGGAAAATAGATCGAGGCCAGGAGGAGACAGGCGAGTCACCAGACGTGGACATGCCATGCAGAGTGTGTACTGAAACAAACAACTGGCTGAGCTCCTGTCGGCCACGGCAGGTAGAGGTCAGAGAGAGAGAGAGAAAGTGAGAGAGAGTGCAAGAGGGAGGAGGAGGAAAAGGAGACAAAGAGGAGGGAAGGAAGTGGGGGAAAATCAGGAGAAAGAGGACAACTCTGGCCAGCTTGCCTGTAATAGCCGTTGCCACAACAAAGGGATGACAGAAAAAGAGAGCCTTTACCACCACGGACTAGAGGCCCTGCAATGGTTCTGATCTAGAAACCTTCAGAGTAAAAAATAAAATCCAAAAGTGAAGAAAAAAGCAAAATGAAAACCAAAGTGAGAGAAAGCTGAACCCAAAAGCCAGGGACAAAAACCCCAATAATTTATGATGAGAATTGAAAAGAAGAACTAAAGGGGGAGGTGAAGAAACCAATAAAAGCAATGTCCAAACCCCATTTCCAGAAGAGTTGTTCAAGTTGCTTTTGTTGCTCATTTTTTCCATTAAAAAAAGAAAGGAAAGGAAAAAACAAAGAAGGGAGGGAAAAAAAAGTGATTTCAATTAAATCAAAATAAAATTAAAGGAAGAAGTAAGTATAAAGGAGGGGGAAAAAGAGGGGGTAGGGAGAGGAAAAGGCAGGTAACACACGGCAAACCCAAAAAAAGAGACAATAAGAATGATATCTACCAGACAATGTAGTTTGTTTACCATAGCGTGTCCAATGCCTGAGTGCTTTGCGGAAAAGGGGGAAGAAAGGAAATTAAAAAATTGTGAACAGAACGATTGTTAATTAAAATAACTAAAAGCAAAGATGAGTCGTTAGGGTGTTAGTACATTAGTTGGTTAGTAAAAATGACACATTGCATGAATGGTCTAGTGTTAGTCTTTCAAAAAAAGGCATGGGGCACCTGAGACACACAAAGTGAGAAAGAGGACAACATGACCAGGACTTCATGGGGAACCATGCCATCTAGACTGTAAAGAAGGGTGCTGCCTAGTCTTCCCACCCTGGTATTAGTCATTAACTTCAACCCTCATACACATTATCCAGGACTGAAGCAAAGTTAAAACAGTACAATACTTACTCTGCAAATGCCCATCAAGGTGCTTCCCTCAAACAAGAGCCTTACCCTCAGAAATGCACACACAGAGTATATAGTTCACCCCTTCAGCAGAAACCCAACCACAGCTCCCTCCTTCCATCCATCACCACCCACCTATATTCCTGCTCCTCTTCCAAGCCTCACTACCCTCAAGTGTTGCAGAGTATCACAAGTAGGCAAATATTTCCTTTGGCTGGAGGACACAGACGAAGACGAGTCCAAGACTCTGAGCCTTCCTTCCAGGTTTCCCAGTCTGCAGATTTCTACAGCAGGGGAGTTTGTGACTTTCAGAAGTACACAAAAATGCCTGTGCTTGGGTGCTTGCATGTAACTCTGTTCTGTCATCTGAGAGGAACTGAGAGGAACTGAACTTCTCATACTGTAGAGAGAAATGTGTCAACAAATTGTGTAGGAAGAATTGCGTTGCTTTGTGCCAAGGTTGAAGAAGAAGACTGACAAGATTTAGTATCTCTCCTGTTACACTGCATCTATATTATGGAGAAGCTAGGAGAATTTATCAGTCAGTTCATTTAGTGGGGTTTAGCAGAACTTTGCAGATGTTTTCTTAACCCTTCCCAAGGCATGGGGATGCCCACTGTTCAAACATACGCATTGTTTCTTGTTTGCTTTTTAGCAGCTAGGAAACTCAAGATCTTTATAGTAGATTTTACATTGTGACTAGCTTCAGTGTTAATAGGGATGCAGCCTGTGGAGGCTCCAAGTCCTTGTTCCAGTGTGACTGAAGTTGGTAAAGCTATCCTAAATTACACAAGCAAGTTCCATGCTGCCTCATGTAAAAAAAAAAAAAACTATCTGCTTGAAAATTTCAGAGAGTTTGTGAAAACTACATGACACTGAACATAATGTCCCAAGTCTATTCATGTATGGGAATGAAATAGCAATATTCTGTACTTGGGTATAATGAGCACAAACTCCAGAATTCTTCATCAAGGAAGTATTACTCTCAGTGATATGTTGTGTAAGTAAATCCACTTTTACAAACAAGGGAATTGGAGTATGGGACGGGGGAAGAGCATCCTAAAAATGAGATAATGGCAGCAGCAGACCTGAAGACCGACATGGGAAGCCTGATGTTCAGTCTCTTACACTCCTCCTCCTCCCACCAGGCCACATTGCCCTAAAAGTGCTCTGAAAGCCCTGGTAAAATATAGCAATGAATGATCCTATTTCTAACTAAAGGTTTCTCACAGGGCAGAAAGGTGGCTTAGATTTAACTGAAATAATACGATAAACAAACAAGAAGATTTGTTTTGACATTAACAATCACTACTCCATGGAATCTGTGGGTTCGCTTGGTTTGTCTCTAAGGAGATTAGTTGCTGTAATAGCTATTTGATTTAAAAAAAAAAAAAAACAAACCCCAGCATTTAGTACTCTCCTAGCTTAGCTACAAAACATTTAACACCTCCAAAAAAGTACTGGGCAAAAGTCCAGCTAGTTAAAGTTCTGCTCTAATTCTGGTAACAGCCAAAAAATTATGCAAATCCACCTCCCCCTGCTCCCAGCCCCAGAAAAAGCAGAGGAAAAGACTAGATGGCATCCTGAAGCTGCTGATAGCCCATTTACCTGGAATTGTTTTAGCTTTGGATCATATTGCTGGGATTTCTAAATTTATTTATCTAAGTTCACTTTAAAGAAAAATATCTTCAGTGCAATGTTTTCAATCAATTACAAGGAGCATACTGATTTCCTTATAAAGCTTCGATATTTAGAGGCAATGGTTTTATTGGGTTTTTTCATTGGTTTGGGTGGGGTTTTGTGGGAAAACATGAGCCCAGCTGGAAACAAGACTTCCAAGTGACTTATATCACACTGCAACTTCAAAGGCAAATTTATGTGAGGAAAGATGCAGAGTAGTTAATTTCTTAAATACAAAATTATTTAGGATATACAAAATTATACTGGATGCAATAAAGGGTAAATTTATTGCATTTATTACAATAAAGAGTAAAAAAAAAAGGACAAAATGTGTAATTTTACTAATGGTAAATAATCTTTATCCTTTATTACATTTTCTATATGAAGGTATCAAAGGGACTTCACATGTTTATAGCCTGTCTAAAAAATAGTTAGAGAAAAACTCTCTTATACACAGGCAAACTCCAGACATATAAGCTGCTGGAAGCTACTGTCAAAATGGAGCAAAACAAAACTCCTTTATCATGTTCTTTTAGAATGGTATCTTTATCCCTTTTTGTTAGTTAAATTAAGCATTTATAAGGTCAAGATATAGAGCAACCCTTCCTAGCTGCATCCTGAAATAGCAGGTATTAATTAGTTTATAGTAATTAAAGTTTTCAGTCTTTTCCAAACTCTTTATCGTGAAGATTGAAGGTTTTTAAGACTTCGTCATTCCCAGTAATATCAATAAAAAGTAAGAATATGCAGGTCCTGACAGGAAAGCTGCAGTATTCAAGGTTTCTCCTTATTGAAAACTGTGGCTAAACTTACCAATAGTTTTTGGATGACAACTTTCAGGACTAGCAATCCTGCTTCTTCTCAAGGTCTCATCAATTCCAAATTTTGTGAAGTTTTAAGTTCTGGGCCAACGTCTTAATTTTGAGCCTGAACTTGTTCAGAAGTCAAAAATGGAAGTATCCAGGAAAAGGTGACTCAAAAAAAAATTCCAGCCTTACTGATATTTATTAGTTTAACTGTATTCTGTCATGCTTATCCTAGAATTGGACCTCACATCATCCCTGCTACTTATTTTTAATATGATTACAAGACTGGCTTTCCTTTGGAAAGAGCACAGCTGTCTTACTAAAACATCCTCTTCTCTTACCAGTTAAGTTGGACCCTTTAAGAATTCAGGATGACATGAAAATACCATCCATAGTGAATAGATCAAAAGGATTAAAAATTTGCAGCGCTGCTTAACCGGGAAGGGACTCACCTGCTTTCTAGTAATCACCAAAGCACTGTCCTGGTCTAATCAAAGATGAAGAGGCACTGACATATTTCCCTTTAACCGCAGACAAGACAAAAATCACTAGCTGAAAGATTAGGAAACAAAAGTAAGAGCTTCCCATCCATAGTTTTGCCTGTCACCCTTCCTCACTTTAGGCTTCATAATCCAAACCAATCCTGGCATGATGCAAGGATGCATTTTGCTTTAGACACATTTTCCTATTGAAAACTGATTTTCGACAAAACCTAAAATGTATGATTAACTAAAATGGCCAGTAAGCTACACTAGATATTCAGAGACCAGCCATTCTGAAACTATCTAAAAATAAAAAAATGCATCAAATAAAGCCATATATTCCTGACTGACAAACCTCAGCCAGCTGGTGCCTCTCCTTCGACTGGACTGGTGGGAACATCTGAACAAAATAGGATCATTAAGACCCATCCACTGCATGAGAAATTATATTTGCATCTGCATATAAACTACTGAAAACAGACTCATGTTACCATGAGTAAGAGCCCTGCAGTTGCATGAAAGTTCAATGACAGGGTTTTTGTCAATCTGATATCAGAACATGTAGAAATATAGGGGTTCACATGAGAAAGACAAATATGTTCAGCCTCAAACCCAAATATTTAAAAGATATGAAATCCCCATAACAGATAAATTATCCACTGTCATCTGCTAGTGGAGACTGTTTCTGATCTCCGACACTGATTATCCTATAGTCAGATACATGTTATCTTAGCTACTGTAAAATGTTACCACAAAAACTATTTTCTCAGCAAACGACATTGTACAAACTTAAATAAAAAGGGTTATGTTAATATTCACATTAATGAGCAAACAAACAGATCATGTTATTTAAAAAAAAAATATTTTATAGTCTTAGTTTATAAGACTCCCGCTGCCAATCAGCAAGACACCAAATAACTCCCATTCACAGTGTAAACCTCATCTATCGTGCAGTGGATGGGCCTTAGTGACTTGATGTATTTACCAGCTTTCAGAGCAAGGATATTTAATTTTATCTTATCTATTTATGTCTGAATTTATGTTTCCTGAGGAAGACTTCAGGGTTGTAAGACTAGCCTACTACCAAATACATCACCTGATAGAGTTGTCTGCTTAGAAAAAGTAGCATGCAGATGTGCAAAATTACAGCGGTAAAATCAGAAAAACTTTTCCAAAGTGGAATTGCAGGGTGCTGGATTTATCTGGGTTTGCTTGGTTTTTTTTTTGATCCTTCCACTTTTCCAGTCCTCACAGCCAACAGAAGAGTCTCATAGGCAGAGACAAGAAATAAAGTAGAATCTCATTATAGGAAGAAGGAGGGGAAAATTAAAAAGAAGAAAAGAACAGAGAATCAAGAAGACTCAGAAAGATTCCAGCCAATTAATTCCAAAGCTTTAAAGTTAACATAATTACACACGTACCCACCAGCCTGCATACCTGTACACTCACATTCACACACAAAAGAAAAAGTAAATTTAAAACAAAAGACTTCCAGAATTAGAATTATGACATCATTGCAATGGTTAAACCAATTAACAAAACTGAAACAAAAAGGAGAGAAGTGGAGAGCGTTGGCTGCAGGAAAAAAAAAAATTACTGTTCTCACAATAATTAAATGCAACATGAATATTACTGATAAGATCAAATCATAATTAAAGAAATAATAAAATAAAAAGGGAGAACAGAAAAAGAGGAAAAAAAAAAGGGAGATGAAAGCAATGCCAGAAGTTTTTATTATTTAATCAAACTGGGGAAAAAAAAAAATCATAAAGTGGAAATGAAGATATCGCAACAGGGACAAATTCCCACCAACCAATGTTTTTTCACTACCCTTTAGATACCAAGATACAGAAAAGGTGAAGAAACTCTAGCAATTCCACTGAGCATCCCCATTTTTCCATTACTCTCTCCCATGTGCCTGTCCCAATAAAACAGAACAAAATTTTCCCCAGCATTTTCTCCCCTTCACCATTACCTGCCGCAGGTTGCGTGTCACCTTAACGTCATGCCATGCGTTGTCATTGAATTTGCCATTGACCGGCTCCACGATGGCCTCAAAGGCCCCAGACCCCAGGTTAATGACCAGCGAGACCGCACCATCTTTCAGGGCCAGGTTGACATAATCAGCTGACTTGCCAGTGTGCAGAATGAGCCCATTGCGTTGCCATGTCTTGAAGGAGAGAGTTATCTCATCGCTGCTGCTCTGGATGGGGTTTTGCGACAGGTCATAGCAAAGGTATTCGGAACCACGGAAAGTGGCCATGTTCTCATCTCGCGCTGGGGAAAAAGGGAAATGAAAGAACTACTCAGCAGTCAGCCAAGAAGAGATTTAAGGCTGTCATGAAATTTGTAAGCAAACCCATAGCACTGTTAATATTCTATGCAACTATATATCATGGCATGCTATGTACAGCCTCTCTTGTAATATGGCTATCAAGAGAATTCATGGCAGAGTCCTCAATACTGTAGAATTTCAGCACTGTGTTTTCAGCTTCATGGCAGCACTGTCACCATAGGGACCATGCAAAAGTATGCAGTGGAGCCTAGGAAAAGTACATTTAAGACACTGCTGTAAGACACTTCACATCCTTTTTAAGAGAATGATAGAAAACCCTACTATTCACAACAAGACAATCATGTACATGCTGCTCAAAAAGAAACCAACATTTCCCAAAGATTAGTATCAATATTCATTGCTAATACCACCTTAATCCATCTACCAGGCAATTTAAGACAGGCATCAGGATATAATTCTGACAGAGCTGCCCCTTTCTTTCAACTGAGAGATACCAAGCAGATGATAGCGCCACATGAAGCATCCCATAGCTTCCTTCTTTTAGAGCATGAGGGAAGCCCACATGAAACATTTTGTCCATAACCATAAGTAATGATGTTGCTGGTAAACATGTCTCAGAACTTTGCCTGTTTGATCACTTTACCCAGAAAATCTGTACTTGACAAGCATATCTTTTTCATACAGCAAAGAAACATGAGGGAATTATTTATTATTAAGAAAAAAATCTTAGGTACAGTGAGGAAAACAACTGAACTAACGTCTTAGTAATTGGAGGCACCACTCAAATATCAGAAAAATCCTTTGTGTGAGCGGGAATTCTGCTTCTCAGTACCTGGGCTTTCACTGTCACTCAGTACCAGCTCTGTTGCTGTACTGTGCTCACGTGCCTCAAGTCAACTGTGTACTGCAGTTCTGTTCAGTATAAGAAATACAGGACAGTGATAGTAAAGCTTGCAGGAGGGCTGTCTGTATCCCATTCCTACCATTATCATCTGTGAGAAAATGGTACTTACAAGGGAATATATACTGACCCTCCCACTCCTTACTGCAGCATTTTCCCAACTCCCAGCTGTGAAAGTGAGTCTCACCATGAATAACGGGATGGTAAAAACAGTCAAGCTATCATTGTTTACAACCTACTGCACAAAGCAAGTGCTCACGTTATTGCCACAGATATTAATAGCATTTTTCTGCTTCATTTTGTCTCATTTATTAATGTGTATACAGATTAGCCAGAATTTATTAGTATAAAACTGAAGTGAAAATACCTGTTGTCATAGCTGGCCTTGAAAAATAACTACATGTTGAAATCTGTGCCCTCACAGCACGAAACAGTGGTGACAAAATAGCACAGTGTTGCAACAGGAACACTCGTCACCCTCAAGTGACAGGTCTGCTTTAAGCAGAGAATTTTGCTGTCTTGACTAAGGGTATCACAGAATGAACTCCAGGCAATTTGAAGGCGGCAGTAATGTGTGTTTGTATTTATGTAAGCAAACTATGTGTCCATATACTCCTGCAAGCAAACAGTAAGACTAATTACTCCATGCAACAGTACAAGTTGGGAGCCAACTGGCACGAAAGCAGCTTTACAGAAGACCTGAGGGCCCCCATAGACGAGTACAAGTTAGCTCTTTCAGGAAAGGCCAGTCACATCCTTAGCTGTATTAGCAAGAATGCAGCCAGCAGGCCGAGGGAAGCGATTCTTTATCTAATGGACACTTGAGAGATCACATCAGGAGTACTCTGTCCAGTATTAAGCTTCTGTGTATAAAAATGGCTTTAACATACTGGAGCAAGTCTAACAAACAACTACCACACCACACAAGGTGCTAGAGTAGGTGATGTGTATGGAAAAGCTAGAGCTGGTTCGTTCTGCCTTGAGGAAAGACAGCTTGAGGGAAAATCTCATTGCTCTCTGGAACAGCTTAATGGGAAACTATAGAGTAGACAGGGCCAAATTCTTCTTGTGTGAAAGAAAAATATGCTGCAACAGATACAGCTGGAATACAAGAAATACTCATTCTATATGAAAGAATATTTCATCTTCAGGATGCTCAAATACTAGGAAGGGCTTAGAGAGACTGTAAAATCTCCATCCTTAGAAATACTAAAAATTGATTACGCACATTCCTGAGCTGCCTGCTCTAAGTGAGCCTTCTCTGAACTAGTGGTTGGACTACACAGCCTCTGGATGTCCCATCCAAATTGCTTGGGTCTGCTATTCAATTCTGAACACATTTAAATACCATCAAAGTGTGGGACAGTACGAGGGCCAGAGCGAGTTTAACCTCGATGAGCTGGCCTTGTGTCCTTGAAGTGGAGGAGGGGAGGAAAGGAGGGGGCTTGCGGTGGAGGGAAAGAACTCGGCTGGCGACTGAAGGAGTGTGTGGACAGCAACATTGAACCGATCAGTATAGCAGTAGAAGCACGTGAACACAAGGCAGTACCCTATCAGAGTGTTTCTGACAATGCATGCTTGTAGAACAACAGTATAAAAAGTCTGTTAGTGAAGCAATAAAGGTCTTTGGCCTATACCCTGCCAGAGTCCGTGTCGTCAACCTCCACAAATGGCGCCCTAACAGGGACTGAGTTGTGGCCGATAGAGCAACCGGTGGAGAGCCCAGCTGAACTAAAGAAGAAAGGCAGCGGAACCAGAGAGCTGCAGCGACCCCCCTGCCAACTGAACCATAGCCGTCATGGATTATGATCCTGTGGCACATTGGCAGCAATTGCGCCAAAAGGCGGCAGCAGAAGGGGAAACGGCAATGGCCGCCGCGTTCCCGGTGATTATTCGAAATCAAGGGCCTAATGAGTGGCAATCCATACAGTGGGACCTTGTTAAGAAGTTAAGAAAAACAATTATGCAATGCGGCCTTGCCTCGCCATTTGCACAAAGTCTACTGCAAAATGTTATGAAAGGGCATCTTTTAACTCCCTTTGATATACAAGCACTAGCTGAGTTGATTTTTACCCCTAAGCAGAAGGTATTGTGGAAAGCACATTGGAGAGAGCTGTGTGATGTGGTGTCCAGAGATAACTTAGGGAGACAGCCCGGAGATACCTTGGTAGGAGCAGGTATACTGCAGCTAATGGGAGAAGCACCCATTATGACACCACAATTACAAGCAAGATTGGCACCTGAGATTTACAACAGTCAGTGGACCTTGCCTTTCAGGCTATGTTAAAGGTCCCTGACACTGGAAAAGTGACAAAATCAGTTACTAATATTAGACAAGGCACTTCAGAGCCATTTATGTAGTTTATTGATAGACTACAAGATGCCATACAAAAACAAGTAGAGAATCTAGAGGCAAAGGAAGCCCTGCTCCTCAAACTGGCAAAGAAAATGCCAATGAGGATTGTAAAAAACTGTTGCAGACTTGCGGAAACCTACTCTGATTGACATGATCAGAACATGCAATCAAGTGGGTTCGGTCACCCATAAAATGAAGTATTTGTTGCTGTGCTCGCCACAGCTCTGCAAGCCGACAGTAAGGCCTGGTTTTGCTGAGGAAAGCCCGGACATTTTAAGAGAAACTGCCCTCTGCAAACCGACCAAACTGTATCCCATCCAGGAGTGTGTGCCCCGGACTGGATTCCAGTCCTGCTGATGCTCCTGATGATCCTCGATCGGTCGACAACCCACAGCCCCTCTCAACTAATGCCATGGAACAGCTCCAACATTTGGGTAACCTTAGCTAGGACACTGCATCAAATGACCGTTTGTGCCTCAATGCGGTTAGCAGCACAGCCATTTCATACATGTTTAGTAGGAATACACTTGTCTGATAGTAGTATTGTTGTGGTATCACAAGGGGGTTAAAACAACAGAAATGTAAGAACTTTACCTCTTGTACTAACGAATCTGATATGCGGGATGATGCGTTACCTGTTGCATCTCAGGAACCACAAGAAATCAATATTCTAGGTTGTGTCTGCAGCTACACAGAGGCCATCAAAAACAAGCAACACTTGACTCCAGTTGTGACAATAATATTGATCTCTGGAATCGAGGAGAAATTATACTGGCCAGTTTTTCCATGCCAGGAGTAGCTGCTGCTAGAGCATTAAAGCAGTTAAACAAACTTGCTTGTTGCTTAGGAAAACAAACCAATGAAACAGGTAAAGTTTTAAGTGCCTTAACAACAGATATTGATTCTATAAGACACGCTACCCTCCAAAACAGAGCAGCCATCGATTTCTCATTTTAGCACATGGACATGGGTGTCAGGACTTTGATGGAATGTGTTGTATGAATTTATCAGATCACTCTCAATCTATTCATGCAAGTATTCAAAAATTAATGGAACAAACAGAAAGGTTACAACAGGATGACGGGTTTTTTGGCTTAGGAACAATGTTTCAGAATTGTGGTCTAACAGGATGGCTGTTATCATTGGTAAAAGGGGGCTTGTTCTTTGTTGGGGTGTGTTTATGTACCGTGTTAACTGTTTCATGTTTGTTACCTTGTTTGCAAAAAATGATGCAAAGGTGGTGGAAAAACAAAAAGGGGGAACTGTGGGACAGTACAAGGGCCAGGGCGAGTTTAACCTCGATGAGCTGGCCTTGTGTTCTTGAAGTGAAGGAGGGGAGGAGAGGAGGGGGCTTGCGGTGGAGGGAAAGAACTCAGCTGGCAACTGAAGGAGTGTGTGGACAGCAACACTGAACCGACCAGTATAGCAGTAGAAGCACGTGAACACAAGGCAGTACCCTATCAGAGTGTTTCTGACGATGCATGCTTGTAGAACAATAGTATAAAAAGCCTGTTAGTGAAGCAATAAAGGTCTTTGGCCTATACCCTGCCAGAGTCCGTGTCATCAATCTCCACACCAAGGAGTGCATACGCTTGTGTTCAAGCAGCCTAAGCAGGGAGGACTGGTATTGATTGTAGTTCTGGAATACAGAGCACAGCGCTTAACAACTGATAATTCCCCTGTTTAGTGGCTCCTGATCCATCACAAGGGAATACGGTACAATC